CAAAAATGCAACTCTCTACTATCAAAAATGCCTCCCCCACATCCCCCAGAAGAAAGTCATAAAAAGTCTTTCCAAACTTAAATACCCATACATCAAAATAATTAAACATCTTGAAAGTGAGGGGAATACATTTTCGAAATTTAGTATCAATAAAGTATTGAAAATTATAGGTAAAAATGAGAAATTTTGAGTAAAGGGCACCCTCCGCCTCTAGAAGAAAACAAAGGAAAATGTTAATTCCGACCGTACTTAGGAAAATTGACCTTGTGACCTCAAAAGACAATCCACAGACCCAAAAGGAAATTTCCCGTAAGGTTGGGGTGTCTAAGCCTTGAGTGAAAAGAGAAATTAAGATTGAAGAAACGACTTCGTCGAAAAACTCGGGTGCATAAGCTAACCGAAAAACAGGAAAAAAATCGCGTCCGTGTTTGCAAAAAAATGTATTCCAATTTTTAGCCCGAGCCAGGGCTTATGTACCCGTTATGTCTGTCTGTCTGTCCGTCCGTCCGTCTGTCTTCGCGATAACTCTCTTCAAACTCAACCGATCGACTTGAAATTTTTACCACATCTATATCTACCCAAAAGACAAATCAAGTTCGAAGATGAGCCGAATCGGTCAAGTGGTTGGCCGGTGGGGGCCATATGGGTGGTGGGGTTATTATGCATCAAATTTTCAAAATTGTTGTAGAAAGCTGAAATTTGGTAAATATGTAACTAATGGCTTCTAATGAAAAGATATGAAGTGAATTTGCGAAAATTTTTATCTGGAGGGACCCTATGGGGTCACTCAAACTGATTTTTCAAAATCGTCCAATTAAGCTGAAATTTGGTATGGAAGTCGATAGCAGCTTATAATGGGAGTTTATGATGTACAATTTTGAAAATTTTGACCCAGAGGAACCCGGTGGGGTGACCCATACTGATTTTGCAAAATCACTCAATTAAGCTGAATTTTGGCGTAAAGATTGGTAAACAAATTCTAGTTGTACCCACCCTGGCTCGGGCTAAGCAAAGCTGCACTGTAGGTTTTATGTTAAGGAATAAGACTGAGTTTTTAGTGACATTTGACGAAGCACTCTTTTCTCTATAATTTACTAATTGGGTTCAAAGAGCTTACTATACGACAAATGCCGGAAACAATTCACGCAAGTTGGTACTTTCCCCGGAGGAGAAGTGTTGTAACAAGTTTATTATCCGATCGTGGGGTCCTCCCACTTATCCAAGTCCCACAAAAACGAAGAAATCTGCAAAGTGTTATGTGGACCGTGTATCGAAACTACTTTTAAAATACCATTTTCCCAAATTGGACGATAATAAAATAAATTAGGTGATTTTTCATCATGACGGAGCGTCTTCCCAGACGGAAAGTTGACCCAAGATTGTGCAAATGACCTTGAAGCTATATTGGAGATAAAAATCACTTCTAATAGTGAAATACCTGTACAATCCCCCGATGTAAGTCAAACGGATTTCTTTGGGTTCAGATACTTGAAAGAAAAAAAATTCTGTTGGGGACGATTTTTTAGACGGAGTTTGGAATGAGTTGAAATTAGTGCCTCAACTTCTGTGGGTGTGGGGGAGGCAGTTTTGAAAGTAAGGAGTTGAATTTTTGACACACCTGAGGATAACATGCTCGTCTGTTAATTTAATTCGTCTGTTAAACAAAATTTTGACACGCTACGACAAACCGTTCAATTGTAGTGTTGTAGGAATAAAATGTACTAGTAATAGGTCTACCGGGTGGAATTACGTCGTACTTCTTATGGATCTTTGGGAGAATGTAAAATTTGCAAGGTTTTCTGTCCAGAATTGTTAATTGATGTAATTCCGTCTCATTCTCAAATTTGATTTTAAGGCATTTAATTTTGTCTTCAAATTCACTTACACTTTGCTCATAATTAGTCCTTGTTGATGGTTCGTAGATTGATTCTTCATTAAGATGTTTTAAAATTTCGTTTTTTAATCGGATTCGAAAAGGACCCAAACTCCAGTATTTTTGTCTGCGTTCTCTAAAACTAGATTGTTATTTTTAACATACTTCTTGAAATGCCCAATTGTTTCGTTAGGTATGAAAATGGACTGTTTCTTGGCTCTCATAGCACGGTTTTTAAAATCATCAGAAATAAATTCGTTAGGAAATATTTCTGATTCAATGTCCCAAATGAGCTTTATTTACTCGAGTTCTTTTCTTTGCATTGATACAAAAACCATCAAAACCATGAGAAGTTTCTTATTTACGCTTTCTTCAAAAAATACTTGCCAACTTATTTTTTTTTAATTTTCAGCTAAACATGAATAAATAAGTTTGAGGTTTGGTTTAACTGAATTACAAAAATTTAAACCCAATGATAAAATAAAATAAAATAGGTAGGTCTAAACTTGCAAAATTAAATATGGGTGGTTTACTTTCTTTAAAGTATAAAAAGCTTTTAAACAGTTAGGAATGCTGTGATTTGCTCAATTTTGTTTTAAACTGTAGAATTTTCTCTAGAAGTTAATAAACTTGCGGGTATTTGTTACTTTTAACTAGTTTATTTTTATTAGATTTGCACTTAATAGCAGCTGTGTCTCATGTGAAGGCGGCATAGACCTTCGATGGGGAATGAAGAGTTAATGATTTTAATGCATTTTGTGCCAGTTAAATGAAATTGGTTCGTGGGTGTTTGAAATAACTTTTTTGTCTTTGACGCCCTCGTGCATATTGACTACCTCCTCTATTTGGTGGAGTTTGTCGTCGAAATTGATTTTTGTCTTGTTGAGGAGAGTTATGTGTTGATTCAGCAGCATTAATGGAAATTCGGCGAAATTTATTACTTTGTTGGTATCTGCCTTGATACCCTCGTTTACATAAGTAATATCGATCATTTCTGGGTTTCTGGCTAAACATAATATTGCATGTCTTGCGGGTGGCGATTTGTTTCTTGATTATTTCTTCTTTGTCGGAAAGTTGTGAAATCATTAGAAGACTCAATGCCATTGTTTTGAATGTGATTAACTATATTTTTTTGAAAAGTGACTCGGGAGTTCTGGGGGAAGTTCATCCGGGTTTGTTTACCTCCAGCTTGGTTCAGTATGTACCCAGTACTCGCAGAAGAATTGTTACAAAATTTCCCGGGTAAATTAAGCAGGCAAAACGATTTTTTAGAAAGTAGTACTATTTCGTACTGAAATCTCCATGCAATTGTCCATCCGATACGGTGTTTCAAAAATTTGTGTGACCCAAAGTACAAATATCATATACTGTTGAAGACGGCGTGTCAAAAATTATTTGGCAACATTTTTGTAAACAAAAAAATCCGGCATTTTACAATTGCTCACTAAAAATCTGAACTGATCGCACAAGGGTCGATCGCACCAAAAAATGATCCACTGACACTGGCAGTTTTGATGAGTGAGACCAAAGTGGACGGGAACGGTCAGAAAGGTCATAAAGCATTATGAAGGCGCGGAAAACCTTAATTTGTCCAAATTCATGCCGGACCCAAAGAAAATTTGCCCTACAAATGAACGGGTTAAATAAAATCATGTCCCGAGCCCTTAGAATAAACATTGGACTTATGTCATTACGATGTAAGAAGAAAAACTTGGCAAATTCACGCCAACTAAAGAAAAACCCCGGAGAAGCCCGGCGCTAATCATGGGGTACGCTCTAGAAAAACAAAACACAAAAATTTTGAGAAAATGAGTAAATTTTTACAATTAAGGCCAACAAAAATAGGAAAAGGACCGTATCCAAGCCCTATCGGTCCTGACTATCCATAGAAATTTCACAAACGCTAATCGGACCCACCATTCTGCTTCTGTGATTTTTTTATTGGGCGCAAGTTGGATTTTGTCGGAAACGCGATTTTTCTTCCTTTGGGGGTAAAATTTCGTATCAAAAAATATTTTTTGAAGTTATCGAGCAGAGTGTGAAACCCCAGAACCTCTCTCAACTTAAAAATAGCCACTAGACATTCAAGGAGGGCTCAGGTCCTGCTCATGAGATCAAAATAGTAAACGGGTGGTTGAAGTCCACAATTCCTGACTCCATTTTGGACCAAGAAAAAAATTCACCATTGCCAAACCTCAAACTTCTGGAATACGATATATGGTCCAAACTGAAGCTAGATACATGTGCAAAAACACATACAGGTTTGGAGCCCGAAAAAAATCTGTCGTCTAGAAATACCACCAATAATCCTTGGAACGAATGCGTACCGCGATGACGAAGTTGAAATCAAGACTCCGGTCTCGTGTCGCCTTATGAGGTTGAAATTTTAAAACGCAAATAGTGTTTCTTGTAAAGAATTTCATTGGCTTTTTAGTGATGTAATTATTTTTTCAAAATTTGGTAAACTGGGCTAGCTACAGTAAGGTTTTCTTGTAACAGTTCTTTTGCGAATACTCGGTATATGTTTCGTGTTGTATTGCGTCCAATCTATGATTTTTACCGAATGAGCTTTCGGAAATTCAATTTTGGAGCGATTGTAAGGAGAATTTGTCTTATTCTTGGCCACTAATGTGACTTTCCGCCACCACCCCCTAATTTGCGATTTTCCACCCACTTCCGAAATGTCCAGGCTAATTTTCCACCATTAACGTTCGAATTTTTCCAAATTTTTCGCCAAGAAGCGAAGGGCAGAGTATGTTCTTTGGCCCAAGGTCCAAAATTTGTAGATTAATCATAAGTAAGGGACATTTGCGGGGCAGGCTGTTTTAACCGTATCTTACTCAATGTTAACCGTCGAATGATTAACTAGGAATTTTGCAGAGAATTTGGTTTGCAGATACAACTTTTGTTGATAATCTATACTGGCAGGGCTTCCTGCGTGAAAAAATGCGTTTCCCGAAGCCCTTAAGGGATCAGGGTCGACGTAGGTCTCGTCATAAGCGATGATAATTTTTAATCATATTTACCGATGTATGTATTGGTGGGGTGACGATCCTGCCATTGTTGGACAGGACCGTCAGCTGCGCAAGCACTAAAGGCTTATTGCAGTCTCCCCGTATACACCGCTTTACTGTGCTAAGTCATGACTCTCACGATTTACAGATCTAACTTGACCTACAAACCGCCCTGATCTGATTATGAATTGAATTAGATCGGGCAGAGACATAGTCACTATTTGCTCTGGTGGCAACTCATGCCTCCCAAAGAGTTCTGACCTTAGGGCACAATACTTGTCGCAGGACCCAAGAAAATGAAATACAGTCTCAGGGCCACGGCCACATAGGCACATAGCCTCATCAACTAATCCCATTGTTCTGAGGTGCCCGTTCAAAGTACAATGCCCGGTTAAGGTTTGTGTTACTGATCGGAGATTCTTCCGATTTAGGGTTAAAAGCTTACTGCTAAGCCCCGATGAAGGGGCAGAGAGAAAAGCTTTAGAAGTTAAACAACCCTTGCTGCTTTCCCAAGATTTGGTATGCTGCAATCTTGCCCAGTTTACAATGCTGGAGATTACAGTGCTTCTGGATAGAGGAATAGAGGGCTGCGGGCCAAGGTACCCAGTAAGAGTACCATCCTTGGCCAACAGATCAGCCACTTCATTTCCTTCAAATCCATGGTGAGAAGGGATCCAATGAAGTGTTACCTTCTTAGTCTCCCCAATATGATTAAGCATCTCAATAGCCTCAGCAGTCTGTGATGAAACTGGCCATGGGCTAGTGAGCGCTTTGATGGCACCCTGACTGTCAATGAAGAAGTCAACGGTGCTATAGTTATGAGTATTGTCGGTCAGCGTTGCAGAAGCCCTGATAATACCCATAATTTCTGCTTGGAAAACTGTGGGTGCCCATCCCAGAGGAATTGAGCACCTCACAGCTTCCTGAGCAAGATTGTTGTATGTGAAGTAGTAAGCCGCACCCGAACACTCACCCATCCGTGAACCGTCAGTAAAACAGTTCACGTCGGAGGCATTCATGGGCACGCTACCATCCTCCCAATCTTTCACCGAACAGATAGAGGTTTCGAAGTTCCTCTCTGCTGGCGGATTAACAAGTTTCTCGCACGGCATCTGGAATTCATCAATACCAGACGCCATGATTTCGACAAACTTGTTGTGCTTTAACGCCCTCGTACGATCACCCCCGGCCCATTTTTTCCATTGGCCGTGGTGAGCGAGGCGATGGTACGTTCGTAGTGCAACTTGGTGAACCCGGATGTCCACTGGGACAAGTCCCAGTAGACACTACAGGGCTGCAGTAGGAGTGCTAGACATTACACCGGTTGTACCAAGCATGGCACACCTCTGTACTCTTTGCAACTGGGCCATGTGGGACTTCACCTTTGTGGCCGGAGCCCACAAGAGTGACCCATATTCCATGGCCGGTCGAATTATGGATTTGTAGATCCAATTTGTGATTTTGGGGGAAAGACCCCAAGTTTTACCAATGGCCCTCCTGCACTGGGCCAGGGAACGCATACCTTTTAGTGCCCTAGCCCTGCACAGTGGGCCCCAGTTCAACTTGTGATCCAATAAGACCCCAAGATATCTTACCTGTTTTTGATAAGGGATGGGAATACCATCCAACTTAATCACAGGAGCAATGAATTTGTATTTCTTAGTGAATAGTACCAGGGCAAGCTTATCATTGACTGACAAGCTCACCTCTTTGCACCAATCACTAACAAGATTTACTGCTCTCTGCACATTACTCCCCACTGTACCGAGGTCAATGCCCCGTCCCACTGTTGTGAGATCGTCGGCAAAGCCCTGTGAGTACAGTTGAGGGAACCGATGATGCAGTTTTTCCAGAATTTCACTTACGACCAGATCCCAGAGAAGCGGTGAGAGGACACCCCCTTGAGGGCACCCTCTCTCCACCACCCTCCCAATCTCGTAAGTAGAATCAGTTACCCAAGTGGTTCGTGTCCGAAGCATGTGCTCAATATATCGAACACATACTTCGTTGACGCCAAACCTGCTAAGGCTACGGATAATGGTATCAGATCTAACCTCATTAAAAGCGCCCTTAACATCCAACATCACTGCAATACAGTACTCGCCAGAGTCAAGGGCCCCCTCAACAAGGCTAACGATCTGATGAAGGGCAGCCTCCGTGGAAACGCCCTTCATATAGGCATACTGACTGTGTCTCTGCAGCCTATCAACAAGATCAGGCGTGCGGACCCAGCCATCTACCAGTTTCTCAAGTGTTTTGGGCAGGAAGGATGTTAAGCAGATGGGCCTCCAAGCGGACGCCCGTTCGTAACTCTCCTTTCCTGGCTTTGGTAAGAATACCACTCTGGACTCTCTCCACTTCAGAGGTGTATAGCCAAAGGTCAGGCACCCCCTCATGAGAGGAACCAAATACGGAATTAACTCGGCTAACCCATGCTGTAAAAGGGCTGGAAAGATACCATCCTTTCCAGCCGCTTTTAGTGGGCCAAACGAGTTAATTATGTTACTGATTTTTGAAGATGTAATCATCAGATTTATAGATTCATCATCCAGCCGCTTTTAGTGGGCCAAACGAGTTAATTATGTTACTGATTTTTGAAGATGTAATCATCAGATTTATAGATTCATCATCTACTTTACCGTGATCAGGTTCCCATGGAACCCGTTGAGGGTCCCTCGGGAACGACTGGTCCAATAATAATTCATAGGTCTCAGAAAGGGTCCTGGTGTAAACACCATCACCCTTGTCCAGTGATCCCAGTTTGATTGTGCCATCGTTGCGAAGGATGCGCGAGAGTCGGGCAGTAACAGGTGCCTCCTCGACACTCTCACAAAACCTTCTCCACGAGGCAGTTTTCCTCCTCCTCATTTCGTAGGAGTAGTAGTTACGAGCAGCTTTGTATTCCGCCCATGCCTCCTCTCCTCCGAAGCGGGCAACCCGATAAAGCCTGCGAGCCTCCTTCCGAAGAGAAGTCAGCTCACGGCTCCACCAAGGTACCCTCTTCCTCCTGGATTTGAGTACTTTTTCAGGGCAGGCCACATCGTATGATTTATGGATAAAGTTACTGACCCTACTAGCGCTCGCCTCAATCTCCTCCGTAGATGACATTGGGCACGCCCTAGCAGGGTCAAGTTCCGTTAGTCCTTTTAATACTGATTTGTATAGATCCCACCTTGTTCTCTTCCTGTCCCTATAGATGATAGGGTCAGGTGGACCAAGGCTTAGGCTGGTCCGAATATACCTGTGGTCAGAGCAACTTTCGTTGTCGTCGACCCACCAGGCCTTTATCCGGTCCAGCAAATGAGAGGATACAAATGTAACATCTAACACTTCTTTCTTATTCGATACAACAAAAGTGGCTCTGTGTCCCCTATTAATGGGGTGCAGATCCACCTGTGCAATGTAATCCAATAGTTGTGCACCTCTGCTGTTGATATTGGTGCTACCCCACATGGTGTGGTGTGCGTTGGTATCACCAGAGGTAGACCATTGGTCTCACAGTATGAGACCAACTGACGCATTTCCTCTGGGGGGCATGCATAGTTTCTATCCATGTATACTGAGGATATCACTACCTCTCCAATACCCCCCCACTGGGTACGGATGGCTGTGACATATCTACAGCATAGAGAAGTCGTACCCTTTTTTGAGTGTTGCAAGTTAATTTGCACCAAGTTCACACTTTTGGTTGTCATATTAAAAGATGACAACCCAGTTCGAAGAGATGTAGATGAGTGTGATGTTAGTGTTAGTCATTGTGAGTGAGGGTTATGACGCGAAGTTAATTTTGAGGGGGTGTTTCAGTTACCCGAAATACCAACTCATCAAAATAATAATTAAATTCGGCGGGCGGTTTTAAAGCCGCCACGCCAGATTTAGGAATACGACAAAAACAGACAAAACCTTAACCTGACCTTATAGAATGGGTCATCCTCCATGTGGTCGTGTCCATGCCCTGGTTGAGTCGAGAGATAGTGGGGAAGAGTACCTTTGCCAAAGGTGGTGTCGCCTCCCTGACCCAAAAACTCACTTTTGCTTCCGCTTCCGGTGGTTTGGGGTCACTGGTGGCGAATTTCCCCCCTTCAAGCTTGTCCACCTCCGCTTCAGCCCACAGTTTGGTGGTGGGGTCACGGCATGTGAGAACCATGCCCATATTTACCGATGTTTTTGCAAAATTTGTGGACAGTGATTTTTTAGTCTTCAACGAACTTTGGGCAACTTAATTCATTTTTTTCCGTAATCCTCTGTTTGTTAACTTTTAGGTTGCACAACAAACTTTTTGAAATTTTCAGTACGCGGGCAGCAGCGGTAAGATTTTACGTGGAAAAGTTGGTGGTGAATAAGTTTTTTATGACTTTCACTCTTTTGTGGGTGACTATGACGAGAGGTGGTCTAAAATTATTTATACTTCGAAATATAAATGTAGATTTTCGTTTTGGGATATTCTGACGTTTTAATGATCTGCCACATCTCTTCCGATTTACTTGGAGCGACGATTTTGTAGTTATGAAAAACTCGTTTTCTATTGAATTTTGTCATTTAAACAAAAAAGGCTTTGCACCTGCTGGTTCCCCTTGAAGTTGCGTTTCAAAAAATTGTATAGGTTAACAACAGTCTCCACTGGAGACTGTTGCGCATACATTTTTTTGCGCAATTAGTTTAAAATCCAACTGTCTAATCTAACCTTAAGACATGCCTTAATTATCAAAATATTTCAACTCTCCCGAAAGTGATTTTGCTGAAAGCTTCATGAAATAAGCAGCAAGCATTGTTGAACATTGCAGCACTCACATTTGACATTGTCAAAATAAAATTAAGAAAACTGATGCGGAGTTGTAAAATGGAAATTTGTTCATTTTTGAAACGGTACCTGACCTTCGATTTTCTTTCTATTTTTAGTAAATAAGCGTCAAGTATCCCTAACTATAAAAGTCAGTAGTAAGAACACGCCCGCAAGAAGATTTTAAATTGTCAAAATTCATCAATGTGGAGAAAGTTGGGGCAGAGGGTATATAAAAAGAAACATGTCCATCATTGAAAGGTCTGACGTACGTTTATCATGAAGCCTCCAATGAATTAGCGCTAACCATTTCTAAACATATTAAAATGCTCAGAACACGCCCGCACGTACACAATTTGAAATTGCTAAAATTCATTAGACCAGTGAAAGCAGAGGCGGAGAGGATAAACATAAACATTTGTTGAATTATGAAGGGGCCCCCCGCGTACAATTTTATTGAAACTGTCAGGAAATACTCTTTAACTACCTAGTAGTGCCATATGTTATGTACAATGCATTCCGCTCGAAGATGAAATTAGTTGGAGCTACTTTAGGGAGTTGTACTATTTTTTACTGAAATCCCCATGCAATTGTCGATCAGAAACCATGTTCCTAATTTTTGTGACCCAAGGTGACAAAGTGACAGATCGTCCAAACCGACGTGTTAGATTAAATTAGATTAAATTAGTTAGATTAGATGCTTTAAAAAATATATATTGCTACTTGTGTCATGGTGTGTAAACCAATTTGTTATGAATTGATCTTTGTTGACACGTGAATAAAGGCTTAACAACAACAACAACAAGTGTTGCAACTTTTCGAGCAACATTTTGGTAAACAAAAAAATCCGGCATTTTTCAATTGCTCAATAAAAATCGGAACTGAACGCATGATGGTCGACCGTACCACAAAATGATCCAGTGACACTGGCATTTACGACTGCCGAAAAACAAGTGGAAAGCGACGGTCAAAAATGTCACCAAAATTTACGAAGGAGCGAAAAAATGGGTTCGCCGAAATCCATGCCGAGCCCTAAGAAAATTTCCCTCACAAATGAACGGATGAAGTAAAAGTAAGTCCAAAGCCATTAAACTAAACCTTGGACTTATGTCTTTACGACATAAGGAGAAAAGCTTCCTAGCTACACGCCAAGTAAAAATAGTCCCATTGGAACCCAGGCGCCGATCATGCGGGACGCGCTTGAAAAATGGAATTGCTCGGCTTTTATCGGCCGAGCCCACTTTTGTGATTGAGGTAAAAAAATAGCAAAAGGACCGTTTTTATACCCTCCGGTCCAGACTATTCACAAAAATTTCAAAAACGTTGATTGGATCCACCATCGTGCTTCTGTGATTTCTT